GATAGAAAACTTAAGGTACTAAGCTTATATACTTTAGAGTTTATCTAGAAATTCTATAAAGCCTCGAAATATAGCTATTAAGAAATTAGAAGAACCTTCTAGAGAATTTAGTAGTAATACTATATTAATAAGCTATAAACTTTAGTTAAGAAAGTAGTAACTAAATATAACGTCTATATTTAAAATAAATCTATATACTATATACTTTATAGACTTATAGAATAAATACCTATTTTAAAGAAACTATAGAAAATAATATTATAAGACTTTATTATTAAACTTCTACTCTTAAGAGATCTAATAATAGAAGTTAAATATAACGCGATTCTAGTTATAATAGAAAGACTTACTAAGTATATAATTCTAATACTTTATAAGAAGTTAAGTACTACTAAGAAGTTAGTATATACCTTTATTCGATATATAGTTATAGACTATAGTACTCTAGAAGAAATAGTCTTAGACCGAGATAAGCTATTTATATCTAAATTCTAGACGGCTATAACTATCTATATAGAAATAAAGCGAAAGCTATTAATAGCGTTCTATCTATAAATAAATAGAGGTAATAAAAGAATAAACTAAGTAGTTAAAGTATACTTAAAATATTATGTAAACTATAAGTAAGATAATTAGATCGTCTTATTACTAATAGTCTAGTTCTTATATAATAGTACTACTACGAAAATAATATAAGTATCGCTATTTAAAGCTAACTTTAGTTATAAGAAAATAGTATTCTAAAAACCTTATAATATATCTATTAATAATTAAATAGAAAGAATTCTTGTTAATAACCTTTTCTCTCTTTATAAATAACTTATTAAAGAACTTAAGTTTATCTTAGAATAAAATACGTTCTACTATAATAAGAAGCGTAGTTAGAAGCCTATACTAGAAGAGAGAGATAAAGTTTATTTAGTTAGACGAAATATCTAAATAAAATAACTAAGTAACAAACTAGATAATAAGAAACTAGAACTATTTAAAATTAAAGTATATAAAGAACCTTTAAATTATAAACTAGCTCTACCGAAAAGTATAAATATCTTTCTAGTATTCTATATATCTCTCCTTAAACTAGTACTACTAAGAGCGCTATTAGCTTTAGTTATAGAAATAGAACTAGTTAACTCTAATACTAAGTATAAAGTTAAGAAGATCTTAGACTATAAACTCGTTAAAGGAAAACTATATTATCTAATAAAATAGAAGAACTACCTATAATTAGAAAATATATAGAAACTAATAAATAACCTTAACTACTCTAAGTAGCTTAAGAAGTTCTACTACTAGTATCTAGGGCCTCTTAGAAAGACCTAGAATCGAAATTCGAATTAAGTAGCGATAAGTTATAAGTAGAGAAGTCGTCGGGCGAGGTAGAGTAGGCTAGTAGTTATTCTACTTCTACTTCTCTCTTCTCCTCCTTTCTCTTCTTCTCTTCTTCTTACTATTCTTTTCTCTCTAACTTATCTAACTTATCTAGTAAGTTAAGATCTACTAAAATTATCTTCTATTTATACTTATAAAGAAAGCGTTTTTACTTCTTAATATATAAGGCGCGAGAAGTAGCCTCTTATTAGGCCGTCTATACCTTCTACTAAAGATCTTATACCTCTTCTTTCTTAGCCTCTAGCTTAGCCTCCTAAGCCTCGATACTCTTTTAGTCGAATTCTATAGGTATTCGGTTTACCTCTTTTATATTATAAGTCTTACTAGTAGTAGTATAGGCACCGTAATAACTATAGTTTAGGTTTTAAGAAACTATATATATTTTTCCCGTCTTTTTATAATAAGAATAAGGCGCTATCTTTCTTCTAGTTAAATTAATTTACTTTCTAAGGGCTATAATATTAGAATATTTTATTATATAGTTAGATAGTATATTAGAAGAAAGAGAAGTCTATAGCCTTTAACCGACGTATTTCTTAGTTATACTTAAGTATATAGACTCGCTAGTCCGAATAGAGAATAGTATTATAAATAGCGTTAGCCTTAGTATCTTAATACTTCTAGGACTAAAGGTCCTAGAATTAGGCGAGGTTATAGAAATCGAGTAGTTTCTAGGATCGCTATCTAATAGCTTAAATTAGTTAATATTAGTTATATTTATATTAGCGGATCGGCCTTAGTTTTAAGCGGTATTACGTAATAAGTAAGAGTTTAATAAGTTTACTTAGTTTACTATTAAACTTATTAAACTCGTTAAATTCGTTAGAACTTAGATAAAGTAAAAAGTTCTATATAATAGTTATAGTTTTCTTAAATAGAAGCTTTATACTTAACTTATTATAGTAATAGTATATTATCTATCTAACTTACTCTTATTATAATAAATAGATCTCTAAATCTATAAGTAATAATCTTATATCTACTTCTTAATATACTAACCTTATAATAACCTTAGTTTACTCTAAGTAGAACTAAATTATTATAAAAACTTATAGTTTTTATTTTATATAGTTATATAACTAAAAGTAAAGAGTTAAGTTATAACTAGAAAAATATAAGAAATAAAGTTATAGTTAGTATATTAAATAATATAAAATATATAGTAGTAAAATAAATTAATTAAAAGTAAAGTTTAATTCTATTTACTAGTAACTTTATCTTTTATACTTTTTAGTTAATATAGTTATATAGATTATACTATTTTAACTAGTTATAACTAAAAAAGTATAATAAATAAAGTTCTAGTTATTAAATTAATTAGAAAATAAATCTAAACTTTATTTAATAGTTACTTTAATTCTTAGACTTTTTAGTTAATATAAATATATAAAAAATAGTAATCTTATTAGTTATAACTAGAAAAATAAAAGAAATAAAGCTATAGTTAATAAATTAAATAATAAAGTAATAAAATAAATAGATTAAAAAATAAAGTTTATATTTATTTACTAGTAACTTATTTTATTTAACTTTTTATTTAATATACTTATATATATAATAATTAATAATAACTTATAATATAAACTATTATATAAGAAAATAGTAGTAATAAAAAAAATAAAATTTTTAAAGGTTATAAGAGCTTTTTAAAGCTAGCTAATTATATATTATATTATTCTTTTAAAGATAATTTAAATTATTAGTTATATAAATAATTATATAGCTAGTAGTTTAAAAAGTCTACTATTTATTAGAAAACTTCTTTTTTTAGTCTAATTCTATAAAATATTCTAGTTAATTTAAATATAATCTATTAATATATATAGATAAAAATCTTTCTTTCTAGATATTTATCTAAATTTAAATAATACTATATTATCTTAATATATTATTACTTAATATAATATAATCTAGTTAAGTTATATTAGTAATAAATAATAAAACTATTAGTAATAATACTTTACTTATTAATATAATAATTAATATACTTATTAATATATTTCTTCTATAGTAGCTAATATATTTTCTATATCTCTAGATATACTTCTAGAAATTAGAGTTATTGTAAGGTCTTTAAGTAGTATATACTATAAAAAACAGTTAGTATACCGAAGAGGTTACCTGTACTATCGTTTAAAGCCACCGAGGTAAAGTTAGTCGCTTTCGCCTCGCTAGAATAAATGCGAATATTTATATATTAATAGAGATTTTCCTATGCCGTGTCGAGTTCGGGCCGCGGTAAGCCTTTGTACTTGAAAATTTCGAGTCTGTTACTTCAAACTCATCATCAAGCTTCTGTATTTGCGGTCTGTGACTATTACGAGTGATGGCTGAAGCACAGTTAGTCTATGGATTTAAATTTCGGGATAGGACGGTCATCACCCACTCTCTGTTGGTAGTCTTGGATGTTGCCTGTCGGAGTATTGATATCCCATGAAGAATGAAATTGGGAGAAGAAAGATCATGATTGCGTGCACAATGTAATGAATGAGCTGTTTTCGCGACTGCGACTTGTCTCTCGGTCGCGACCAAATTGCTTTACCTTTCCCAAGGAAAGGCTCGGTACTGTCAATGACTGATATCGTCGTTTGAAAAGGTGATTGTGAGAAGCTTTTACAAGAAATGCTGGAAATCAATTCAATTCAGAGGATGATAATAATTTCGTCGAGTTTAGCAAAGTACCCACAATCGATGAGCGGATTATCTCTAAGTCAAACGCCATCAAAATTGTAGAGCAAGCGGAACTGTAGTCTGAAGCAAGCAGAAAATTGGCAGACCACTTTTGCACTCTAGAGGAAGCGATCAGATCGTTTAGCAAATGTGGAGAATCATCCGTTATCTTTTTTTGCCCGCAATGCTTGTTGAGCTTAGCAAACTCGACGATATGCTTTGCCGTTTCTCAGCATAACTCTTAACAAGAAGTATGCAAGCTTGAGGCGTATAAAAGCGTCATTTTGCTTGTCACGATCGATTTTGAATGTGGCCAGAGTACACCAACGAGTTTTGGTGAGGTGACTTGATATTAAGCAGGTGTCCTTGACGAATGCCTTCCACTTGAGGTAGGTTTAAAGGATACAACACTTAATGGTAGGCAAAGTATATCTGGTCGTATGTGCTATTTAGACCATCTCACTGGCATCTTGCTCAACGTCCATGGGAATGCCGTACATAGTTTCCAATTCAAGCAGGAGGACTGAGAGAGGGTACATCCGTTCCAGTTGAAGAAGGAGGACTAAGAGGAGAGGGGCAACTCAAGATATCAAGCGGCGCAATGACTACAAATATGTCGAATGAGGAAATCGATGACACTATAACCACGAATAAGGGGTAGCATACCGTGAGACTTAATCCGGCTTTCCCATTTATGTCGGAGGAATATAACTTAGAATGGCTAAGTGAACGTCTGCTGCTGCTTTGATAGGTGCGATAAATTAAATATCAACTGGTATCCTCTTGCTGAGTCCATTGCTATTACATCAACCGACTCGATTCGTACCTTCTTGAAGAAGTTGCAGTCGCAAGATCCCAGCAAACAACAACCCCTATATAAGTGACTGACTTTTCTTCAACTGATACTGGATCAAACCATAGTTCTTAACTCATTCAAGATGAAGCTTTCTTTTGTTCTTGCCGTTCTCGCTTTTACCAGCTCCGCCTTTGGGGTCGCGATCCCCGAGGTCGAAGCAACCGCTACAAGTGTGTATCCATTGTCATGAAACACCGAGACAGCATGCTGAATTGTTGACAGACAAGGGGGAGACGACGCCTAAGGCAGAAACTATTGATCATTTACTTCGTTACTGGCGAAAGAGTGAACCGCCAACAGCTGTTGCAGGTTAGTAGTACTTCTTTTGATCTGTACCAGAAGATTGCTGATGAAATGATTGATTTTCAGAGCGCGAGGCAGCACCACAGAAAACTGGTATTGATCATTTGCTTCGTTACTGGCGAAAGAGTGACGCACCAACAGCTGTTGAAGGTTAGTGATGCTTCTGCCTATCTGTACAAGTAGATTACTAATAAAGTAAATGCCTTTTAGAGCGCGAGGCAGCACCACAAAAGACAGGTATTGATCATTTGCTTCGTTACTGGTGAAAGAGTGACGCACCAACAGCTGTTCCAGGTTAGTTGTTCTTCTGTTCGTCTGTGTAAAAGAGTTCTAAATCAAACACTTCTCAGAGCGTGACGCTACCCAAAAGCAAAAAAAAGCCACCGGCCCCGACCACCTACTCCGTTACTGGTAATGGCTGACGTCAATTGTTGACTTGGGAGCCAAGCTCTAGCTTAAATATTACTTTGAAAAACGAACTTATTCCACCCATATACATGTTCCTGCCATCCCACGATTCCGTTACACGAAGTGTATACCATATCTCAGTAGAAGACAGTAATTACTGAGGAAGCCTTTAAGTTAATGGGTTGTGATATGCCGTGGACTGCGGTAAATGTACAATCCCAAGTGTAGTTCGTGCAATTCACACCAAGCTTAGCGTACTGCAAGATGTAGGGTATATCTCATGAGCACATGATTACTACAATTCTTGTAACACAGGCCAGCTTGGTTTCGCTCGCATGGCCATCATGCTAAATGTACAGTATTCGAGTAACCCGTCACCACTGTCTCGACAAGGAAGAACTAGCCATATCCTTTGCGCTCATACAATTGATGCGAGAAGAAAATGAGTAAGTAATTGAAGTGTCCTGTTTCTACTTTGATATTGAAGGCTGGCTTCTACGTGTGTTCGCCAACAAGTGCAGATAGCAGATTTGAGACTTACTCTGATAACCTACTGTAGCACGATCGCGGAAGCCCAAAAGGAGTGGGAAAGTTACAAGTTCCTAAACAATGTCTGTGACAAAATGGTTCACTCCGTCGTTGTCAAAGGAATTTTGATCCGAAATTCATGTTTCCTACAAGTCAATGTTCCGTAACGATATTTGATTCAAGCGGACTTGAGTGATTTGACCAATCATTGGAAAAGAAGTATGTCTGACGATGGGGTGGCTTGTACCCATACCACGTGTTGTTTTTAAGAGCCGAATATCATCGACGTCATATGTACACAGGGAGATCTAAGCGAAAAATCGCTCCGATCAGTGAATAAAGGAGGTGATGCAATATGTTTTGTTTCAGCTATTTTAATAGGTCTTATGTATTTAAACCCCTAGAAGAAAATCCCAAGTAGAGGTGTGGCAAGACCGTCCAAGTTCTTTATTTTCCAGCTACTTCTGTTCTCCAGTATAAGCAGAGCAGGGCTGTACTACTCACAAAATACTGATCAGTCCGTAATATCTGAAGTGGCTCTCCCTTACCAGCTAAAGAGAAGTCGGATTGTATTTGCGCTTTCCAGGTAATAACGTGTACAGAAACGTACGTTGGGATTAACGGTGAATCGCAACAAAGCTGTTAAAGTCAGGCCAGCGGTTTTTCATGCACCGTATCACGCCACTCTCTTACCTCCTGATCAGCTGTTATTGATCGTAAGAAAATGTACTACCTATTGATATTGAAACGACGATCCGGAATTTGCTCTATGTTGAACATCATTCAGATTTACTCCGCATACCTACAACAACACCAAGCTCATATTGAAACCACGTAAAAAACCCCAAAACACAATTATGGCTCAGACTCAATACCCCGAGTTCCTCTACCATGTGAAGCGTACTGTCACCGACTTCCATGAGGATAAATCCGGTGCTACGCGAACGACCGATATTCTCGCGACGTTCACCGATCTTCCTGCGGCAAAGAAGGCAGCTTATGGAGCGCTAGAGTCTGAAGGTTACCTAAGAGACGATTTCGAGAGCTATGAGTCGAAGGCTGAGACTGAGCAGTGGTCTCACGGTGATGGAGTGCTTGTGTTCGCAAAAGCACCAGCTGGTCAGGAGTTCGAGGTGTATCTTGACACGAAGCCGAACGACCTGAAATTCGAGGGCAATGAAGCTGGTCAAGTTGAAGGAAATCTTCACTATGGTATGTGATTCGATCTCCAATCGTTTGAAGCTACTCTGTCAGCTAACCAGGCTCTTTCCACAGTTATGCAGACAACAATAGATTACAACAGTGATCGTATTGGTGGTATTCAAAATACCGAGGTTGAAGGCACATATCCAAACCGCATAGCTGCGTTCGAAGCTGTCAAGACCGCTCTTCTCGACGAAGAAGTCACGAAGGAGTTCTTTTCAGAGTACGACGAGAGAGACGACTTTATCGGCGAATGGCCATACGGAGACGAGTGTTGGGTTCACGCTGTTGGGCCAACTGGCCAAAACTTCTTGGTCTTTGTGAAAAATCGACCACATAGCCATCGTCATCACGAATGCGATCATCACAGTGGCTCGAAGTGCGACTGTGCTTGTAAACACACGGAGAAGGAATGTAAACACAAGCAGTGTAAGCATGAAGATTGCAAGTGCGACACTGTATGATTATGGTTCCACTTAAGCGACATGCCCATGGTACTGCGTTAGCCATCGAATCGCCACGATGCCTTACCAATGGTAGGATAAATAGCATGTAACTAATTAAAACTATATATTTTAATGCGAACTTTGAATACAACGTCCGCTTAGCATAAACATACTTTTCTCCGTGACGAATTGACGTGGGATGTCGTTTTCAAACAGGTGCCCCTCTTTGGTAGCGCTTAGCGAATAGGAGACGATGCTGCTTAGCCTCGATTCACTTCCCGCAGACCTGAACATCGGAGAACAGCCAACATGAATAGCTTCATATGCGTTTTGCGTCCTCACAACGCCATCCGCTCCTTGCGCAAGGTCGTGTTCCTCAAATCCGACTTGATGTTTTCTAATTTCATGCAGATTTGTACCTTCCAAGCCACATTTCTTTCGAACCAGCCTTCAAAGCTGTCCCACCGTGCTATGTCCACCGTTTCCACCGACGAACTTGACATCGATCGCGTCGTTACATATTGGTTCGAGGACAGCAACAAGCCGCTGTTTGCGAAATGGTTTGGCGGAGGACCAGACGTTGATTCGGAGATCAGAGAGCGCTTTAGTGCTCTGTGTGACACGGCGCACACGAAAGGACTACAATCGTGGACGGACAAACCCAAGGGCACATTGGCATTGATCCTCCTGCTGGACCAATTCTCTCGCAACCTTCACAGAGGATCCTCACTGTCGCATGCTCAAGACGCAACCTGCCTCGATATCGCAGCTAAAGCAATCGCGAAAGGGTTTGATCTCGAAGTACCAGTTGTTCAACAGCCGTTCTTCTACCTGCCCCTCATGCACGATGAAAACCTGGTGAGTCAAGTTGCCGCCATGGCTCTTTACAACGGCTTCATCGCACGCTGCCAAACGCAATCCGACCCTCAACTCCTGGAATACGCATATGCCAGCAGAGATTTTTCAAAGCGGCATCTTGACACGATTCTTCGCTTCGGACGCTATCCTTCTCGAAATGGTATACTCGGAAGAGAAACAACACCAGAGGAAGCGGCGTTCTTGAAGGAGAACCCCACGGGATTTTGATCGTGTAGGTCTGAGGAGCTGGTGCAGCTGGTGCAGCGCGAAAAGTTCTCTCTTGTTGTCGATGACACCGTGTGATGAACCAATTGCCCAATTTACCCCGATCACGGCCAAGTATGATCCTCCCTTGAAGCCGACTCGGTCGTCGCCGGATTATTCTACCGAACTCTCTGAGCCTAATTTGGTGGAAATTGCTCGTATTTGTACTGCGGACCAACGGCATCGGTTGCTTGGTAGGCTAAAATGTTTCTTCTTTGAGTAACGTTTTCTCCGCGCGTTTGAATTGCCAATTGCTCCATCTGGCCACATCAAGAGTGCCGACTCTATCTCTCCACGAAGGAGAGTGGACGATTCTCAGTGTCCTTCTGCATCGATCGTGGTTCGCACTTGGGAATGCGTTACACAAGTATCCTTCATAAAGCTTCTTCTGCTGGGAGATTCTGTATGCTGGTTGTGTCAGCGACTTCTTTTGCCTCCAAATTCTTTTGGGTATCTCTGTATTGGGTTTTCGGGATTCGCTTTCACTTCATTAGTCATTCATGTGACTGCATAGTCTCTCAACAAGAGAACTATGTTTCAACACAACTGGTTCTCTCCACCACTTGAGATGACATTGATTTAATTTCTGAATGGGTGGTATGTCGTCAGACTCATGTCGAAAAAACACGCTAGCACAGACTAATATCAATCTTATTCTATCGCCCACGTTGCTTTCTAACAATGTAACTCTATCATTCGCCGATACCTTCATGTCGCTCCGGTTCCTGAGCTGATAGAGCACGTTAAATGGATTATTGCAAGTGCCGTTCTCCGACCATTTGCTCAATGCCACAGCAGCCCCACCCGCATGGAAACATGCGATACACCAGACTTCATACTGTGGGGTATAGATGAATATGCACTGCAGATTGACCATCCATTATCATCCTTGCCGCAAACTTTCACGGTCACACGTGGTCTATTCAAAGGACTTGGAATTGCAAAACGGCCAATGGGATGAGAGTTCTGTCTGGACAATACTCTTGACCCGAGGATAACTATGGAATCTCATTCTTTAATATTGCCTGAAACGACCACGACGTCTTGAGAACGAATGTAGACTGACGTAGCGATTAGCAATGCACGCAATACATAAGAGGACGCAGCATAGTTCGATTGCTTTTATGTCAGATCACGAATTCATATCCCCAGCGCTTCAAGCGACTTTCAAAATAAGACACAGGCGAGTACGACTTCTTTAAAGAATAATGTGGTCTTACCTATACGCCAGTGCTCTCTTGAGCCTCTTACATCCTGCCTACGGCGCAAACATAACATGTCCAACAACTCCGTCCCCACTTCCCAAGGCCGCTTCGTTTCCAAAGATGTCGACGCTTCCAGATCCCTTCACTTATCTTGATGGAAAATCTCGAGTTTCATCCGTAGATGAATGGTACCAATGCCGTCAACCAGAAATTCTGAAATTCCTCCAGGAATATCAATATGGATACTACCCGGATCATTCTGCGGAAAAGGTTACTGCTACCAGATCAGGCAATTCCGTAACGATAAACATCGCGGTCGGCTCAAAATCTTCAAGTTTTAAAGCTACTATCAATCTGCCTTCCGGGACAACTTCTTCTGCCCCAGCACCTGTGGTAATTGCAATTGGTGGTATCGACAACAATGCGTATTTGAAACAAGGGGTCGCTGTAGTGACGTTTGATTATACCACTGTTTCTCCGGACAGTAACTCAAAAACTGGCGCTTTCTGGGCTTTGTACAATGGAAAAGACATTGGTATGCTTCTTGCTAAACAGCTGCACTCTGCTCTTTGCACCTGCGGTGAAAGCATTAACTAATACGAATATGATTACAGGTGTTTTGACTGCATGGGCTTGGGGCTTCCATCGCGTTCTTGACGCACTCATTTTGACGGCACCTGAGATTAATTCGGCCAAAGTTGGGGTGACGGGCTGCTCACGCCTTGGGAAAGCTGCGCTGGCAGCTGGGCTCTTTGACACCCGCATCACGTTGACAATGCCTATGAGTAGTGGTGTTCAAGGACTCGGTCCTTATCGATATACCACCCTTAGCGGTCAGGGCGAGAATCTGGAAAATTCAAAGTCGGGTGCCGGGTGGTGGTCCAACAGTGGCTTGGGAACTTTCGTGAATAAAGCAGAACAGCTTCCTTTCGACGCCCATACAATTGCCGCGGCCATTGCACCACGTGCGCTAGTAATTGATCAAGGTCAAGGCGACCCGTACACAAACTCCAAGGGAACAGCCATAGTTGTCTACCCAGCTGCGCAGCTCGTTTACAAATGGTTGGGTGTCCCTGATCAGATAGCGATGGCTATCAGATCCGGAGGCCATTGCGACAATTCGGGATAGTAAGTCTCAAACTTCTCATTTGGACATGACAATGATTACTGGACAATCAACTGACCAATGCTTTAGCACGAATGTTCTTCCTTATGTGTTAAAAATATTCAAGGGAACAGCGACGACAAGGAACTACAACGACCTGACGCCGTGGAATGCGATGAGCACAGCTTATCCTTGGTCATCCAATATCCCGAAGGCTTGAGGGTAGGGAATGTGTGCTCGCAATATGTTTCGATTCCCAACCCGTCAATTTATTAATTCAAGAAACGCACCGGTTGGCACCAAGAAAATTTCAAATGCCCGTTTGCCCCCATGTTTTTGACCGTACTGCAGTATGGAGATCTTGTTGCCGCCAAGAACTTATAAATCATGCACTCTGTCTCTTTCTTTGTTGCTGGTACGACACAATCACGATAGCTGGTTGACTTCAACTGAGAAAAATAAATGTCAATCTCAGCTAGAAAATGTACTCATTAAATGGCTCGAGCCCGAAACCATGCCGCTGTTTCTTCGATGTATCGTGCACTTTAAACGGTAATTTTTGGTACCTTTCACTCAGAAGCATGCCACCTTTGAGTTTCAGGTTAAGGAAAATCGTCTGGAACTGAATAATGTCCTAGTGCTCAGCTTGCTCAATCCCAGGCAACTGTCGGTTCGTTGACGGATTAGTCCACATATTCTATTCTTTAAGAATAAACTCAAGCTTGACTGTGCCATCACGCGCGGGATATCAGGAAACCACCCACGAAAAAGCCAGATAGCGGAACTCTCTTTCCGTAGATAGACCCCAGCATAAGTTCGTCATACCGAGGCGTTCACGGTCTATTTTTAAATATATTCAGCAGTTTTCAACGTGGCGTATATATATTCCGGGGCAATAGTTTCATGAAATGGGGAACTCGCCCTGCCAAGTTGTCCCGCACATGCGGTTAACCTACATCGCCGATAGTATTCCCTCTGCAGGTGACGGAACAAGCTTTTTCAATATTCACACGAAGCCCTGTCCAATCTGCATTGGGCCCCTTACCAATCCTTCATAATGCAGTCAAGATTCTGGATTAGGCAACCATCGTGTTGAACATCACATCCCTCCTAGTCGTTTTACGATTTACCTCTGTCACCTAGCTCAGCAAATAAAATTCGATCTTACTGAACGCTGTGGCAATATGACGAGAAGTAACACTATGGGACTCACGTGTTCGGGGCGGTTAAATAGCATTTGCAGATTCATACGACGCAAAGGATCCTTTGAAATTGGATGGACTGTTCCATCCGCGATACACCATAAATTGTACTATGGCTCAACCCAAACGCTGTGACGTTTTCGTGGAGGTTTTATACAAGATGCAGGACATACATGAAGTCGCGGTGCGCAGTTACTCTCCAGCAGTTTGCTTTTTGAAAACCTTCCGAGTACCAACCTAAACCAAGCCAGATCCCCTTTCAGGCTATTCTGCTGCCTCGTCAGCCCGCTCCGGATCCTCGTCTTAAGCCTGTCCAATATATCTAAGATGCAGTAGCAATCTATTGCCATGGGTCACAGTGCAGTCTTGGATGCTTTTATAAATGGAAGCACGACTTTTTTTTCTTTTCGATAGCAGATTTCCTTCGTTTTGTTGATTTCTCGTCATTGGGGGAACTTTTCATTATGCTTTTCAACAGTTATCTTCCTTGCTTTGAGGCGCTCACCATAGCCCTTTTACTTCCATGTTTAGTGACCGGACATCAGCACTCATGGGACGAAAAGATCCACATTGGCAACCAGACACTACATAGGCCCTCAATTCCAATCTCGCCGACGCGAATTATATTAGATGGCACTTCCATTCTTACGAATACCACAGGAGCTTTCCAAGGAGAAGGGAAGAACAGAAAACGTGCTAGTCAAGCTGGAAGCCCAAGTGGTACGAGGAGTACATTTTTGGTCCTGGCCAGAGACGCTTCATCTGCATATTCTGCCTACTCGGGTCTCAACGATTACGGAATCCCATATGAGCTGAAGATAATTCCAGCAGGAGGTACCACTTTGCCGACTCTGCAAACCAGCGATGCGAACCCAATGGGTAATTATGGTGGAATTGTGGTTCTTTCCGAGGTCAGCTATGCGGACGCTAATGGGAACTGGGCTTCCGCGATAACGGCAGCACAATGGACAACGCTCTACAATTATCAAACGACTTTTGGTGTAAGGATGGTCAGATTGGATGTCAGTCCCTCTGCTGCTACTGGCACAAGGGTCGTGGGTTCCTGCTGCTCCGACGGTCAAGAACAACCTTTGTACATCAGCGATATCACTCAGTTTCCAACTGCAGGTTTAAAGCAGTAAGCGAGCAAGCTGGCATCTCTTGCTCTGGCAGTCGGTAACAACTATAGGGGTGCGACTCTAAGTAGTCTTGGACTTTATCATTACCCCGCGGCGATAATTGACACTTCGACAACTAGATCAATTGCCAATTTCATGCCTACCACAGGATTTACCGATTACACCACTGCTGCGGTGATCAACAACTTTTCGGGGAGACAGCAGGTAGGACACAAGACAGGACGTAGCAGTGCTTCGCTAATGAACAGATGGTGTTTTTCATGCCTTTCGCAACAGACTGGGCTTTGACGTCGACTGTGTTGACTCATGCATGGATTCATTGGGCGACAAGAGGACTTTGTAAGCATAATTTAGATATCAGAATAGAAAGAAAGCTAACTATGCACCAGATGCCGGATTTCGAAGAGCCATGCTTCATACCCAAGGTAAAAACATTTCCTGCTCGAAGAAATAAGCTTACACCACCTTTAGTCGATGATATGTTCTTGAAGACAACCACCTGGGATGGAGATGACTTTCGGATTAGCACTGCTGACCTTGCAACGCACATTCAATGGCAAGCGTCTATCGGCTCCAAATTGCCTGCTGGCAGCAATTATACCATTGAGCTTGGCCATAATGGAAATGGGAATATTGAAGTAATCTTTATGTGACCTTTTCTATTTTCGGTTGGCTAATTAATCCAGAATGCGTTCAAAGTCAAGCAAGCAACCTGTCCACAAGGATCCGTCCAGCGAGTCGACCCCCCGCAGACAGATTTGGAGTACATCAAGCCAATCGGAAGTGGGACAAATTTCTGGCCATTAAATGCCACATCATACACCTATACAGACGATTGTATCGCGCAAGATCCAGTGGCTAAATTCTTTTTGACCCCCGCGACTCGAGATTCCTTTATGCACGTTTCGCATACATTTACACATGAAAATGAGAATGCTGCGACATATTCAGATGTTACCAGCGAGATTACATGGAATCAAAAGTGGCTCGCGCAAATCGCAATTGCAAAAGGAAAATGGTTTAGTCCCAATGGTATCATTCCACCAGCTATTACAGGACTTCACAATGGAGACGCATTGAGAGCGTGGAAGGAAAATGGCATTCTTAATGTTGTTGGTGACAACACCCGACCAGTACTATTGAACACCGTAAGATATCTTGTGCCCTAGCCAACGCATAATTAATTGTAAACACAGATCAATGAACATTGGCCCCTCATCACGAGTGTCGCAAAGAATGGGTTCGACGGTATCATGATCATACCTCGCTGGGCAACGAATATATATTACAACGTGCGTCAGATATTCCTTGATCTAGTTCACACATGCTAACATAATGCTAGTGTGATGACACAGCTTGTGACATTGGTCAATGGAAATCACTTGGAAATTCTGGCACATTGTCGACTCTCCTTGATGCTGAGAGATCAACTAACACCCGCCATCTTTTAAGACTTAAGCACGACCCATTCATGTTTCATCAGGCAAATATGAGATGGGAAGGAGTTGATCGGACCACCGTTAATGGAGTCACCAATCAGTATTCTCTACTCCAGATCTGGGTTGAAAATATCGTGGCAGAGGTAACCAGGCTCACAACATGGCCTCTCATTAGCTTGAAACATGACGATGTAAGTACCCTTTGCAAAATCGCCTCTTGTAAATTAGCCACTAATCCGGTTTCAAAACAGATCGCAGCTTCCTTCCGTCAACGAATGACAAGAGACCAGTGTAACTACACCATGACAAATACATTTTCTGGCTCGACCATTACCGGGTTCTCGGTTTCTGCGCCGTCTGTTAGCAATAGATGCGCCGCACCCATCCCAATAACTCTGCCTGGACCCTTGGCGGAGAATGGTATTCGGTATAATACTGAACAGCTCGGAAGTGACCCCTTAACGGTGTGGGTGGATTTGAATGGTAGAGTTATGGATTTTAGATTAAAAGACCCAATTTCTTGGTAGTTACTGCACTGTGATTTACGGTTGTGTCCTTAAATATAATTTAATTATGCTTAAATTACAGAAAGGTTTTACAACGATAACAAGGATTGCCGTCCATGAATATCACGCCGTATTAGGAATTATCAATACCCCAACCACCGTGTACAACTCTATCGTTTTCCCCAGTCCATTCCAGCTACCGGTTCGTGAGTTCGCACATTCTCTCATATCGTTATGTTGAAAGTCCCGTTTGGCAGTCAAGATATGGCCTATGTTCATTCACCCAAAAGCATCTTGAGCACTTCGGAAGGTGTGCTTTTAGGTGCTGCTATATCAAATATCTCCTTGCTAGTGGTAGAACTCGTGCATTTGCCTTCCCAGGCTGTCACTGGTGCCTCTTTGATCGAGAGAATGAGGTGCTTTGAGTCTGTAGCCTCTTCTGCCATTTGCTCAATGAAAGAAGTGTCCTTAAAAACGACATGTTCAACCTTCGTCCCAATATAGCCTTCGATCAACTCAACAATTCCCTCTCCGGTGATATCCTCCGGTCCATTGAGAACATACTTGGCTCGATTGTGGGTACTCGGATCGTCTTGGGACAGGAGTCGTGCTGCCAAGTAGCCGACATCGTAGGGATCGATGATACCCACCGGCGCATCCGGGGAATTCATCAACTTAAGGGTCTGCTGCTTCCCGTCCTTGCGGTATTGTTTAATAAATTCAGCGGCCGGAGAGAGAACCAAGGTGGAAAAGACGTTTGGCTGCAAAGACGTCCATTGTAACTTCTCAAATTCTGGCGTACTCAGCATGGACTCGACCGCCCAGTGCGAACGCGGATAATAAGCTTTAGAATCTGGGCGCACATTGGCCGCGGTCGTAGAGATTCGAACCACGTATTTTACACCAGCCAGAAGTGCGGCTAAGTGAAAGTTCGATTCTTCTGCGAATTGATTCGGCTGGTTGTGAGAAGCGATGAACGCCCTTTCCACCTCATGTTTTCGAAGCCAATCCGCAGTTATTTCCACCCAGTTTTGCTCTATAACTTCCACCCCAGGTAGCTTGGCGATGTGTTGCGCCGGCTCGCTTTCTTTAGACCGAGTTAGAGCGAGAACACGATGATTGGACAAAGTCTTGGACGCTTCTAAGAAACCGGAGAGTGTTTCAGTGACGCTTCGACCAGTATTCCCAGTTGCGCCAACAATCAAGATGCTAGGTGACATCTTGACTTCGAATAGTCTAAAAATGTATTGGGAAAGTGAATGTTCAGTTTTTGGGTAATGTTTTGGTAACGTCTGTCTCATGCGTGCTTAAGCTTAGAAAATTCCCCCTCGACGGTGCTTTAAACTGTTGTGACGTGAGTTTTCTATAAAGACGTCATTAGCGGATTAAGGTTCGTAGATTGTTTTCTGAGTAAATGTACGATCGCCGAGCCGGCGGACGAAATCACTTGGTATCTACTAGTGTGTGTTTAATTCCTCGGTTATTGGTTTTAACAACTTAGCCTCCGATGCCCGATTATAGTCGACTTTTTCGTCCGCCGAAATAGGATGGAGCTGGGAGGAGACAGCCCACTCACTACCACTCGCTACTACGAACGACCGCTGGGGTATCAGACTTATTGCTACACGAGCCAAGCACTAGCGAATCAAAAATCACGATTCTCCATATCATGTACATTGCGATGAATTATCTCTCCAAACTGCTGATCGTCTACAAATGAGCAGTAACAGACATTCCTGAGTCGATCATGATCCCAGTGCCATTAATATACGACGAAGACGGACTACAGAGATAGACGACCACATTTGCAACTTCCTCCGGGTCTGCAGCTCGACCGAGTGGCGTCTTCGTCTTGATCGATTCCCCTAAGGCAGGCCATCGTTTCAAACCACGATCCAGCATTGGGGTTTCGACCCAAGTTGGACATACTGCGTTCACCCTTATTTCATGCTTCGCATTGTCGAAGGCTGTGGTAAACATTAGTGAGCATAAGGACCTACTCTTGTGCAAGAGGATGCTCACCTGCAACTTTGGTTATCCCCATCACCGCATGTTTGGATGCCACATAGGCCATCATACCCCGTCCGGCGGAGAACGATGCGACAGAACCCAGATTGACAATACAACCGCGGCCAAGACTACGTTGCTTTCCATGTCTACCTGTATGGGTTCTTGGTTCTTGTGATATCATGAACTTGCTTACTGCTCGCACGCATAGCATAACGCCTCTGGTATTTACGTTGAGAATGGCATCGAAGTTGTTGATATCTACATCAGCTGTTGGAGCAAGAGAGCTAGCTCCAAGCTGAAAGAAGAACAGAATCAGCAATGAAAAAACGAATTTATTCCCTGGGGAGATGCTCACCCCAGCACTGTTAACATTGTAATCGAGCCTCCCAAATTCCCTGACTGTGAAATCTACCATCTCTTGCACACTGATAGGATCAGTAGTATCCACCTTGATAGACAGTGCACGATATTGTGTATTCGTGGCATAGGCTTTACTCTTCTCTGCGTTTTCTGCAGCCAATTTACAGTGGATATCTGCAAAAACGACTCCCAGAGCGCCAGCTTGAGCGAAAGCATAACCAGTTTCCTCGCCAATGCCGGCCGCCGCCTTTTTTGTCAGCGATACTTTCTAGGTTGAGCGATTGGAAATACAAAAAGAAGGTAAGATATACTCCTGTGATAAGTGCAACCCCACTAGTCGAAATGGATGACATGACGGCCCAGGTATCTGTGGAAGAGTTCCCTTATCTTTAGTCGTCGAAAATGGATTAGAGGTGAAGGTTTTGGGGGAAACACATGCAGCTGCGGGTTGGAGCTTTACCGTTCTTTCCAACACGGCTATATGCGGTGTATATGCGACTGGGTAACCATGTAGGCGGTTGGGAGGCGCAGCCAACAGTTTCCCAAGCTAAATTGGGACAAGAACTGTAGCACCCTAGTTTGACAGTTAACAAGGCAGCGGAGAGTTCAGGCAGTATGACTTGTGAAAAGGTACCAATACATCAACACAATATATTGTTATCTTGAAGTCTTGCAGGAATGGAGCGTTGCAATACTCGGAATATACCTTAAGAGTGTAATAACATTACAACACTTCCCCGACAACGGTTTTTCTTTTGGGAAAACTGGCCAATGGCCATCAAACATCAAGTAAGTATTGCTTCAACGATCAAATTTGTTTAGGTGCTCAGATTAATAATTCCATTTTCCACCATGCGTAGAGTCTTGGTTTTTACTGATATACCGACAACTTTCAAGTCCTTTTCATAATCGCACTCGTAACTTCTAGATTCAAATACGACTATCATGCCACTTAGCAATCTACTTTTCGCTGTAGGCGTAGTTGTTTTCACGAGTCTTGGATGTCTCCTGTTAGTCTCGTGTCGACATCGTTCCCGCATCAATGGGCTACGCAAAAGCGGCATAGTAAGTCCCAGGAGATCTCCTCGCATGGTCTATTTGCTAATCTAATATCATAATAGCCCATGCCAGCAGGATGGAATTGGATAACCGGCCACTTACTTATCCTCGATCGCACTTTTCGACACCTCCCGCGACTGGCAAATTTGTCTCTTGTCATACAAGAACTGTGTCGCGAGTTCGCAGATACAGAAATGTTTATATTAGATCTGTGGCCGGCCTTTGCCCCTGCTATCATAACTTTCAACCCCGAATCCGAATTGTTCATCTCGCAAAAATACAACCTTCCGAAACCAAGTACGAGCCTCGAATCTGTCAAACCAATTGTAGGAGGGCCTAGCCTGTTATCGATGAACGGAAGTGAGTGGAAAATCTGGCGTTCTCTATTAAATCCGGGATTTAGCACCGCCAGTTTAGTGGAACATGTACCGTATATTGTCGACTGCGTGGAAGTGTTCTGTAGCAAGCTGCTTGAGAATGCAGGCAATGGCATTCTGTCTCTCGATGACTTTGCTACAAAGTTAACCTTTGATGTGATTATGAAAGTAACTTTGTAAGTTTTACTGTCCCATCGATCAGCGATGAAATCATAACTCATTTGTCGTCGCAGAGATGCAGACATCAACTACCAGCGATCAGAACATATTCTAGCGACGGCTTTGAGCACGATTACGAACTGGCACTCATTTTGGGACCCACGAGTCTTACTCAACCCTGCTCGACCATTTATTCAAATGTACTATGGCTACATCATGAAGAATTACATTGGAAAAGAGCTGGAGCAACGCTTCGCAGATCTCAAGAGACAACATCTCTCATCTCCGACAAGCCAGGGAACGAAAAAGGCGAAATCAATCATAGCTCTGGCATTGGAAGCTTTCGTTGAAGAAACCAAGGGTAAAGAAATGCTAGAGGGGGCAAAGTTAGACCCAGAATTTGCATCAATGGTCACCTGTCAAACACGGCTATTTCTTTTGGCCGGCAACGATACAACCTCAAGTACTATTGTGTATATCTACCATACTTTATCGAAACATCCCGAAGTTCTTTCTCAACTACGCCGAGAGCATGACTCTATCTTCGGTTTGGATATCTCACAAACAACGACTTTACTCAAAACACAATCTGCGCTCTTGAATAACTGTCGTTATACCCTAGCCGTTATTAAAGAAACATTGAGACTATATCCTCCAGCAACGAATATGCGACAAGGTCTTCCAGGTGTATCGCTTACAGCGTTGGATGGTAGATTGCTGGATACCGGCGGGTTTCATATTATTATCAACCACCAAGCCACCCATACTAACCCTCGCGTTTGGGTCAGAGCAACAGAGTTTCTACCGGAAAGATGGCTTGTTCAAGCAGATCACGAACTATACCCTCCCCATGGAGCATATCGCCCTTTTGATATTGGTCCAAGAGCTTGTATCGGGCAGGCGCTTACGCTTAATGAGATGCGGATTGTTTTGATCATGACAGCGAGAAAGTTCAACATAACACCAGCTTATGAGGAATGGGATGAGATCCAACACAGAGCAATAGGGTGGTGGGCAAGAATTCGGAGCGGTATTTGGGGAAAGGATATCAATACAGTGAACGGTGATAGAGCCTACCAGACTGAAAAGGCAGGGACGCATCCCTCAGATGGATATCCGTGTAGAGTTGAACTTGTGCAAAAATAACGAGGTCAAATCTGTTGTGTAAAACGGAAAGATGTGTCTTAGCTCACCAGCTTACCAGCTTGTCGAGCCGGATAACTGAGTCGTTGATCTAAAGGATTCTGAACATAATTCGAAAATTCGAAACATCTCCTCTTTATATATTCAAACCTCACACGCCTTTCGTTAAAGTCATGTGTAGTCCCCAATGAGGTTGTTATACTGTCATTTTATTTATGAAGTCTCGTGACTCCGCCTATAAATTTCAGCCGCCGAAACCTGCTGCGAAACATCAATGTGATAATGGAAGGATGCCTACACCTCATCGGTAAAGCTCTCATTAAAAAAGATCTCACAGTATCTCCTAGCTGCGAGCTATTCCAAAGAGCTCCGTAGACAACAAAGTTCCCGTAAAACGGCGTCCATTTTACCGTGAGTTCTGAACCCCAGGCTTCCTTCGTCGCCGTGAAATTGATTTTTCACGCCACTTCACGTGGGAATGGAGATAGAGTGTGATTTAATTTAAATGAATTGTGATTACCTAGCGCATAGAATACGACGACGCGGCATGCAGTAAGTGCACTGGTGTTGGTTTTTTTTAAATTCACACCTCAACTCAAACCCTGTCTATCTCGGGTACGGGTAAGTGGGGATAAGGCGCAGTGAAAAGAAGGCACAGTGAGAGATGTTGGTTGATAGTCGGTGAGTGTTGCAGAATTTTTTCGATAGACACCTTATTCTCTAAACTAAATATTGCTTATTTGGATAATAGCGGGATTCCAAAAATTTCTATAATGGCGGGGTGATGTCTTGTTTTGGAAGGTAACACTAAACCTGTGCGAGATGGAACTTTTCAGGTTGAGATAACCATTACATAGGCGCCCCATCGCGTATTTCCTCCAGTAGATAGGTCAGTCACCAACAACCTTGCATGCCGCGCTAACCACTGCCAGCGAACTCAGCTGGCAAGATGAACCGCCGCTGCTCTGTCCCTGGAGTCTAGACCTTGTTCCCGTCCATTTGATGCATATGTCGGTGACTCGTTTGTATCATTTCTGCAGGAAGTTGTTGATGTTGGTTTTCGATAGACATAAGCAAGTACCTACGGTAGCGTAGATCGCTTACAGAGTCCTTTGTCATTCATGTTCCGAGACTTTGCATGTGAATTAATGCCTAAGTAGATTATGGAGCACTTGAAGGCTTACTTGTGTCAACCCTACTGAACAGTAGGTGAAAGAGTGATGTGCTTTAGGTCCAGTGGTGTACTATGGCTCGCTCGTTTCGTTTAGAGAACTTGGGCGGTTTCGCTAAATGTTTACCTCCCATTTATGACCAATATCGCCGAGTTGATTTTGAGTATGCTGATTGGCTTACAATTAACTGTTACCAAGTTTCATGTGAGCCGGAGGATTCTCCCGTCTGTTTTGTGGGAATGTCTTCAGCCTTTGCCACGACATTTTGTTTCGGTAACGATAGAATGGTGCATTGTAATGCGAGGACTTTCCCACACCATCGCCACAGAACTTTGCTAAAGGTGACCAATCATCTCTATTGGGCTGGACCCATTTAGATAGTCGAGCTCCATCACAGCTGAAGTTACAGGAGTTCTGCAACATCGACTCAGGGGATCTACAAACTAACCTAAGGCCATGTACGTGCAGTCCAACATTTGGAGCCCCATACCCGGTGAGGCTGTTCTCTGTGCTGAGAACCAGTCTCAGAGTTGCCTAACGAGGGACAAATGAAGCCCTGTAGGAACCGCTGTTGGGATTGGTTTCATGCGAAGGGTTTCGAGTCGCCTCAAGATAGTTGCTTGAAGATGGGGGCTCGTGTTGACGGCTTTTTAATGTCATTTTGCATGGCCATTTTCCGTTTATTAGAGCTACTTCTTTTAAATATCTCTCCAAATTTGCCCTGTTGCACTCTTTATCATGAGCGCCAACTCACATGCTCGGTTATCCGCACAAGCAGTGTTCTTCGTGGTTGGGTTATTATGTATTCTGGTGTTTCACAAATGGCTTTCTCAAAGGGGCAAAATTGTGGCCCTTGGCGGATTTGCACCCGGTATGAAGACAAAACTGCCTTTTGGTATGTATTGTAACCTCGTTTAATAGACCTTGTATTGATATTCAAAGGGTTGAGATGGATAATAGATGAGATTCACTGTGCAGTCAACTACGATCACTTTGATATATGGCAAAAGAGAATGAGACAAGTGGGCACAGAATGTAGAACACTTGAAACGCGTTTTCCTGGACCCTTTGGACTTCGGATAATATGGACAGATGACCCTGAGAACATCAAAGCAATCCTGGTGACCGACTTCGAGGACTGGGGAAAGGGGGAAAGAGTACACCATGAGTGGATGCCTCTTCTTGGTAACTCGATATTCATGACAGATGGAGCACTCTGGCATGCAAGTCGCCAACTCATCCGGCCGCACTTTACAAAGAAGAGGGTTTCTGATCTGAACACCTTCGAAACTCACGTACAAATTCTCATAAAAGCCATCAAGTCAAAGGGAAATACCCAGAGAATTGATATGCAAGAAATGTTCAAGCATTATGCTCTCGACATTGCCACAGAATTTATTTTAGGTAAAAGCGCTCACAACATGCTTGGGTTGAATCTTGAATTTGCGCATGCATTCGGAGAGGCTCAACGACAATGTGTCTGGTTCACCAAACTAGGGTGAGTCTGCCGTCGTTAATATCCATTCATATACTAAATACGCTCTAGGCCGGCCAAAGGACTATTCTCTCGAAAAAAGTACCTCTCGAATCTCAGAAAGATCAACAACTTCATTGAGCCTTTCGTCGACGAGGTTCTGAGTTTTACTCCAGAGGAACTGCAACTCAAGTCAAAAAGGGAGAAAAACTTCCTGCATTCTCTTGCGACTTTCAGCCGAGATCGGAAAATGCTTCGAGACCAAATTATTGGTGTTCTGTTAGGTGGGCGAGACACTGTTGCCAGTGGGCTTTCTTGGGCCCTGTACGAGTTAGCTCGCCACCCGGAGATTGTTACAAAGCTTAGACATGAAATTTCTGCTATTGTGGGTTTAAATAATGCACCTAGTTTCTCCAAAATGAGAGAAATGAAATATTTGCAGGTATGTATTCACCTTTCTCCAAATAATTAATCATTAAAAGTTAAGATTAATTGGCGCACAGTACATCATTAATGAAACACTACGACTCTACCCCTCGGTCGCCGTCAACTGCCGCTTCTCAACTAAAAACACGAGTTTACCACGAGGCGGGACTTCAGGAGGGCGAGTTGGCATTTTAAATGATACCCTTGTCGTATTTTCACCAATTGCTTGTCAACGGCATCGAATCGCATATCCTTTGGATTCGAAAATCGAAGAGTTTGATCCTGAAAGGTGGGTTCATCTGGAGTTCAAGCAAGGGAATTATTTTCCATTTAGTGGTGGTCCAAGGATTTGTGTTGGACAGCAATTTGCGCTTGCAGAAATGGGTTACACACTTGTCAGACTATTTCAGACTTTCAGTCAGATTCACAGTTTTATGGATTACGAAAGACTTGATCGGAATGGAGGAAACATGCAGACAGATATCGTTCTAGAATTAAGAGAAGGGGTGGAAGTAGGATTTATGTATGAATAAATTTTCATGGCAGATGTTAGAAGTGCCCCTTGAAGCCCAATTCACGGTGTCTACCTTCACTAAGGTGGAGGTGGTTTGTCGATTTGTCGTTATTGTCGTGGAATATTTCTCAGAGGCTGTTGGTGTAGTGTATGTTTGCCAAAAATGTAGGGTGATATTGCCAAGAAGAACTGCATGTAACCGGCATTTAACCGCTAACTATATCATGAATCCTCCTTCCGATTATCTGGTCCTCACTTCACACTTGCCAACTAAAACCCAATTATTATATTCGCCCAAAGTTTGAGCCTAATCTTCCCTCACAACATCACAAAAATGGCGACGGCTTCACCTCCAAAGCACCCTCATCTCGGCGCCGTTCTCGTCACAGGTGGCTGCGGGTTTCTAGGACATCATCTCGTTCGCGCACTACTCGACAATCCTTCTGTATCCTCTGTGTCGGTTTTGAGTCGCAATCCTCGCCAAAATCGATATCCAGAGGTGTCATATTACGTTTGTGATATAACCTCCCGAGAGAATGTGCAGACGCTTTTCAAGAAGATCCAACCCCGTGTTATTTTCCATACAGCCTCGCCATATGCATACTCAGATCCGCCTAATCCAGCACGTTTTCAGCGGGAGATTGTTGAAGGGACAGCCAATTTGCTTGCTTGTGCTAAAGAACTACCCTCCATTACTTCTTTTATCTATACTTCTTCGATCATGGTGTATGCCACGAATGCGAATAGAGAGTGTATCATGGCTGATGAAGAGAGCGATATCCTTCATGGGCCCGTTACAAGAAAGAATGCCTACGATGAAAGCAAAGCGACTGCAGATACAATGGTCCTTGCCGCGGATGACCCCACACATTTCAGAACGGTTTGTGTCCGAATCTCTGGCATATATGGCGAAGGGGAATCAAACGACAGTGTTACCACGCGAGGATTAAACATGGTTTACTCTGGACGTGCTAATATACAACTTGGGGATAACACGTCCCTCTTCGATCCTATCTATATCCACAATGCTGTACACGGACACATATTTATTGCGAACGCTTTGATAGATGAACTCGACGGACCTTTGAAAACAAAATCTAACGGGAAAGTTCACGGAGAAGCATTCAATTTGTCTGATGATTCACCAATACCCTTTTGGGATTTTCTGGGCAAGGTTTTTGCGGAAGCAGGTTGTCCACAGACTCGCGAGGGGAAAACAGTCATTCCAAATTGGGCTGTCATAGCAATGTGTTGCATAGCAGAGTGTATGTATTGGATACTGTTTTTGGGCAAGCGAAGACCGAAGGATTTCTTGCGAAAGAAGTTAGAGCACGTTTATAGAACCCGTACTTTGAACATCGAAAAGGCGAAGGGGAGGCTGGGATGGTATCCACCTATTCCCATGGACGAAGCAATCAAGAGAAGCGTATCGTGGTGTGTAGAGAAAATGGGCAAAGCCAAATCGAATTAAGTTGGGGTGGTATAACATCAACTCTGTTGAACGAAATATCTATTGTGCTCCGTCTCTTTTCATGCAAGAACATCCACTAAAAACAACAAAGTGCGTAGCCCGTCGTTTGATGTAATTATGCTAAAGAAGGACACCTTCTTTGCTGGAGTAAATATCATGTTAAAATTTACATGTTAGCAACCCAAACAATTGTCCCCGTGTGTGTGAAGCACATGCTCTCCAAATTAGGGACTTAGTGTGACGGTTTCAAATAGTGAGTTTACACAGCGGCTGGTAAGAATTAACTCGTCACTGATGGTGCGGTGCGGATCTAGCCATGTCAATTCTGAGAGTCGCATAATTGACGCAGAATTCTATTTAACCGACAGCCCGATCGGCCGTTGATGTATCTGGTGTATGGAATTAGTGCCGCTTAGGGTTGCCCTTAAACGCCGCCCTCTCATGTTGGTTTCCGCACTTCCGAGGCGTCGATTGGGTTCCCTCGTTTCGGGGAAATTTCGTGATGGTGTGGCAGGCATTCAGATAGGGTCGCCACAGGAGGACCTCTCAAATTCTCACTCGATAGAAGTAATTAGCAAAACGAAGGCTAGGGAATCTGACTCAAAATATCGCTGGCAAGGATTTGAACAGTACGGCAAATAATTATTCTGCGTGAAATGCTCGTCTTAGTGCCATTTTTCCAAGAGGGTTCGCTTCCCACCTCTTTTATAGCACTTCCAGTAAGAGCATCATCTATACAACAAGACACTACCCCTCTACATGGAACTTCTTGCCATAGCTTCGATTCTTTCCGCAGGTCTTGTTCTCTATGTAATATGGAACCTTGGTCGCACTACCACAGTCACTCACCAAGAACCAGCTATAATCCACCAACGCATCCCTTTCGTTGGCCATTTGATTGGGTTACTTAGAAATGGGACTAGGTACTTCTCTGATGTCAAGTAGGTCACCAAAGAGTGGTTGGGTTTATCTTCCATACTAATGTAAAACTAATTCAATTGTCAGCGCCAAACTTGGATTACCAATATACACACTTCCTATACCTGGGTCGAGATTGTACATTGTTCGCTCTCCTGAACTCGTTACGTCAATCGAAAAGAATCCAGATCTTGATTTCGCACCTCATCTCATCCACTTCGCTCGCACTATCCTCATCCCCTCTTCATCTGCGATAGAGGCTCTTGAATACAATATTGATGGCAAGGCGGGGAGTATCGGATGTCGCATCGCCACTCAGAAAACTATGCAAACATCCATTGCGCCTGGACCAAACCTGACCCCAGTCCAAGGAATTATACGCTCCAGTATCCTCAGCCAACTGGAAATTTCTGATCTCACACATAGAGCAAGTCCCATTCGTATGTTTGAGTGGACTCGTCACTTGGTTACATTGGCAACCACCAGGGCAATATATGGTAAAGAGAATCCATTTGAAAATATCAAGGTGGAAAACGCACTTTGGTACAGTTTGTCATTGAGTAGTATCGGATTATAGCATCGACTAAAATTTCTGTAGGACTGTGGATGAAGGGTTTGGTGCCTTGTTGACCAACATATTGCCCAGCATATTTGCAAGCCGCGCTCATAAAGCTCGCCAAGTCCTTTTTGATTATTTTGCTCAATATTATAAGCGGGATGGGCTAGATGGCGCTTCACAACTCATCAAATCTCGATATGAAGTCAATCGGGAACATGGCGTTTCAATTGCCGATATTGCTCATTTTGAGCTTTCTGTTCCAATCGCTCTTCTCGTCAACACGGCTCCTGCAGTGTTCTGGACGTTATACTTTGTCTATTCTGATGAGGTATTATTGCGGGACTTAAGAAAGTCATTTGACACACTCGCAAACTCTACTGCATCAAACGAGAAAACAGGCGCTTGGAAGACACTGAAGATGGAAGATGTTACTGAAAGCTGCCCACTTATGATTTCTACGATTCAGGAGGTACTTCGCTTCCAAGCCACAAATGCAAATGCAAGAGGGGTTCTCCACGACACGGTTTTGGATGGGAAATATCGTCTCAGAAAAGGAGGAACAGTATTTATACCGGCGAACGAGCAGCATCTCAACCAAAACATATGGGGTTTAAACGCGGGTCGTTTCGACACAAGACGATTCTTGATAAAGGAAAAGAATGGCGAAAAAGCTAAAAGACCAACAAACGGATATCGCGCCTTTGGCGGTGGCTCAACACTTTGCCCGGGTAGATTTCTTGCTATTTCTGAAATCGCTTACGTGGTTGCTTTTATGGCTTCTCAATTGGATCTCGTACCGATCAACAACCACTGAGGCAAGCTCCAAGGCCGTCCTCATATAAGCACATCCATTTTGACACCCACCCAAGATATCGAAGTGTTCGTCAAACCTAGGAAGGGATTCGAACACGTCAGGTGGGAGTTTATAGAGTAACACGGCAAAGTCTCGATGTCTAAGGTGTATATGGACGACGCTCAATTGTGGTCTCACTTATCCTTCTTCTTTGCCATTCTTCTACTAGAATACATCGTCTCTTATGACTAGCCAAGCCGCAATAGATAGGAAATGCACCGAGCCAAGAATTTCTCCGAACCCTCCTAGCGAGAGCACTTCAATCAACATGATACCGGATATTAGAGCTGCTCTGGGTACCAGAATTGCAATTGACCAGTCCATGGCTGAACATTTGGCATCATTCCTCGTCGTGTTGACGCCAGTATGTAACCGAGTAATCGGGTTCGTAACGAGTCTTTCCATGCATAAGAAGACCATTATGTGACTTGATAGAATGAGGAAGTTTGGAGCTTGAGTAACATCGACAAAAGTATGATAGGAAACCAATGGATGCACGGCAGTGATCACCGGGAACTCGATGGCTGCTACGAGAGAATTGGCAATCGTCTGCCAGGTTCGTGTGGGATTATTGGAAACACATTGCCTCCAACCCCCCAGAGTTTTCCAGAACAAAAGCTTAGCTAGGTGATGTATTTGTTGAGAGACTATAATTGCGACAACTGCTGACAGTCATTAGGTGCGGGCTGACTGAAGAACATATAGTTCCACTCACTAATTGCAATGAGGTCCCAGACCCAAAGTTGCCGCCACATGCACCAAGCGTTGGAGATCCGAGAAGGTATTTCGTGGGGAATTGAGTTTGTAGTAAAATATTGACTGGAAAGTTGCATTTTGTTGGCAAATAGTTTTAAAGGAAATTTTGCTTGGACTCTCTGGTCTGTGAATGTTCTGGTAGGTAACGTCATCTGGAAAGTTGATGGTGTCTAAGAAGTAAACTTCCACCGCATCTACTGAAGACTTTTCCGATTTACTAAGAATAGAAATACCCTTTTGACTCTCTCAGAATGCATTCGTAAAGTTTCCATGCGTTTCAAAGCAATCTAGCGAAAAGCCTTGATAGTACTAAATCAGGACGCCTCTCGCCTCTCAAACTGGGGTTCGCAATTATATTAATTCCAACAAGTTGTAAAACTCCGCCCAATATATCTTGTTGGCTTTTGTCCGGAACGTAGAACCGATCCTAGTGGTGTGATTGAAATCTCACGTCTGAACTACACCACCCAACCCCTGTTGTTGTGCTGCAGCATTACCACGTTGCAACAACATGACCCCCTAACCTATTGCAGCTGAATACCTGTGGCGAATGAATTCAGAGTGACCCATCATACTCGGGACGGGACAGACCAACAAGGCGGTTGCAGGTTCGTAGAATCCTTCCAAAAGGCGCATGGGGCTGTACAGGTGTTGGTTTGCCGATATGGAGAGGCTCTCGCCCATCCCCCACCCCCCGAATTTATTCCTCGATTCTTTAACACTTAATTCCCCTCTCCTACTATTTTCCTCTTTCGTACCAATTGGATCTGTGTAGCATAAACATTCCCCAAGATGTCTTTCGACGCTATCATAGCAGCTCTTCCGTATGATACCCCAGCAATTCCCCCGCCGGAGGGCGTTAAACCACATTTCGACAACCCCCACACCCGAGGGCCAGTTATCATCGCCGTTGGAACCATTATGTTTGTATTGGTTCTGGCCTTCGCAGCTGCCAGGCTCTACGTGAGCACTTTCGTAGTCAAGAAAAGAAACTTGGGAGATAGTAAGTTAATCCTACCGTTGTCATGTTAGGAAATAACATGCTAATTGTCACCACCTAGTACTTTGTCTGTTTGCATTTGTGAGACTCCCAATCCGCAGAATTTTGGAATATTGGTTATTTTGTGACTAACCAAAGAATCTTAAAGCTTGGATCATTTGGATACTTCATAAACGTGTGTATTGGTAAGTTGATTGAACTTCGATTGAGCAGGAGTCGAGCTAAATCACGATGAGATGTCCATCTCGGTCAGATTGGGAAACATGAGTGGAATGTTCGGCTCACCGATGTTTTGGCTGGTCCATTCCTTATTGTATGACCCCCTTTTATATTCTAATGGTCTTTCTCCGATAGTCATATTGACATAACTAGTCCAGCGGCCTCGTCACTGCATGTCTGTTGTCTCCGACTCTACTCTTGGCAAAGATTGCGATTTTCGCATTATATCTTGAAGTCTTTCGACCGTTTAAGTGGATGAGAATTTGCGTTTATGTTGGTAGTGCAATCACGACTGTGTTTTACGTGGTCTCCACAATCGGTTTCATTTACCTCACAGTAAAAAAGCCCGGCGAATCCTGGCAAATGCATGCCATCTCTGCCGACTCCATGTTGTCGCAAAAGCTATTTATTCCACATCGAGCGGTCGGGCTAGGAATTGACTTGTACCTCTTTATATTGCCGTTGAAAGCTGTGTCAGATCTACATCTACCGTTGAAAAAGAAATTAGAGGTTATGGTTGTGTTTTTGATGGGTTCATTGTAAGGAACAAGTTGAAAGTCTGAAGAAACCCCAAACTAATTGTATTCCAGGGCCTGTGTTGCTTCAGCATTGAATGTGTATTATGCACAGAGGTTATATACTGAAAAGGATGTGACATGGATTGCTGTAGAAATTACTATAACTGCGTAAGAAAATGATCTTACTCCAACCCTTCATGGCTCTCATGCTTACAGATTTGTAGTTTAGTGGAGATGGACGTTGGCGTTATTGTCGCTTGTATGCCTGCGTTTTCAAAACTCATTCACATATATCGGCCATCCCTTCTTCCATCGATTCGTTCCAGCAACTTTCGCAGCAGGTTTGGCAAATTATCAAATTCGAGAAGTGACAGCGAAGCGGGGCCACCATCATCACAAGGCGATGGGGATACCGAAATGGCACCGGTACCATCTCTTACACAATACCGAATCATGGAAGATGGCAGCCGCGTGCCATTTGAGTTAAACCACATAAAAAGTGTCTCGACTCATATCCACGCAGATACTCCAAGGAAGCGAAGTGAAGATGACCAAATCCACCTAAAAAAAGAAATCTGGCAAAATTGATAGATTCATTTGTTTAGGAAGGAAGAAATATTAAGAGCGCAATTGGGTTTACTTAGGGGGTTATTGGAAAAACCAATCGTTGGTGGAGATGAGGTATTCATCAAATGTGTTATATTTCGACAAAGATCCCTTTGTATGTGTGAGGAAATTCAATGTCTGGTGGTGGTAGTACAACGTTTCAGTTATCGGTTTGTTACTGTTGACTATTCTGTTGTACTCACTGACTCAAACTCATGCTATCCCTGATTCTGCCGAGTCCCATATACCTATGTTGATGAATTTTCCTCCACTCACCTTCCGTTCATCTTAGACGACTTATCAACATAATTCTATGCCGAACTTCAATTCATTTGCTTAACCATAGGTTTGTAGAACTACAAACTCTTGAAGTTTAGTTGCAAGACATGAATCTAGCGACCTCTGAGGAATGTCGTTGATCCGCCTTGAGATATGATGTAAATCCATATCTTACATTGGGTCTTGAAATCCCTAAAACACCTTGACTAAAGTCCAGCAAGTCCCTCGCTTTTGAGAGTACATCCAAACCTCGTCCCTTGATCATGAGTTGTTCCTAAATTTGTGTCCACTTTGCACTGAGTTGGAGGAATAAATTGGTTGTGAATGTCGAAATCCAAAGATGACAAGCGAGGTTAACAGAGCTTTCAGCAAGTCCATCTACAAAAACATATAATTGGAACCACTTCGATACGAAACATGCAGCGCCTGCTTGCTTTCCTTTCCACACCATCTCTCCATTATCGTTTACCACGATATTGTCTATAAGAGACAACGCGGGCTCCTCAATACTAGATCACCGAGACTTCGGCTCAAATGATTGGGGGTGGTAGATAGTATTCTTGATTGCCATATATTGAGAATGAAATGGTAGGTCACAGGAGCTCACATTACGTGCGAGCTGTGTTTCAACAACTCCTATCATAACTGTTAAGAGGCCGATACCTAGTGGAGCAAGTTCAGGGCGCATGGTTCTGAAATATTGGTCGAAGCCGCTTTAGAAGGGCAACAAGCGCTTGCGTTCAAGGACGAGAGGCTCAGCAAGGTTTTCAGGAATTGTGTTGCTCAAATCCACGACGAGGATATGCACACCAAGTAACGGTGTATTGACCCAGGCGCCAACGCTGCTCATAATGACCTCCCCTACCGCGTTTTGCCCGTAGAAGCTACCAAAGGTTGAACCGTCTGTACAGGAGCCAAGACAGTAGTGTTGTAAATTTGTTTGGCTCTCTCAATATTGTCCAGATCCAGAATAGGCATTGAATACCCAACCCGAGCATTGTTCACCGAGACATCAAACTTTTCGAGCCCAACTTTTCGGTCGCTGCTGCCACTGCTTGGACCAAGGCGGAGATGGAAGACCAAACAAAACAACCAATTGGAGTACGTTGATGTTGCTAAGACACGGAAGTTCAGTTGGTATTTTGAATATATTCCGTGTTGTCGCAAATACATGGTGGCATCGGTTAACGAGCTGGTGGGCAATTGCTGATCCAATGCCACCATAAAAACGGCCTTCAGTCGTGTCGTGGCCAATAGACTTGAATGAATGGAGAGAATGCAAACAAACGCATTTACCAGGTTTGTCATTAACCGGTTGGTTACATGGTGGATAATTCGACTGCGTTAATACGATTGCAGATAGCTCTCTTATTTTCTGCACACCCCTCAAATTGATAGACTCTGTATTATCACATTAATGGTACTCGGTGAGGTCAATTATGGTACCCGGTGAGGTCAATTATGGTACTCGGTGAGGTCAATTATGCCGGTCTATGCTGCAGGCTGCAAGAAGTTCCTTCAGAAGAACAATCAAGATTAACATTGACCACAGGGTGCCAGACGACGTGCAGTTCGGGCGTAGTTCCATGCAATCTAGCCAATTTCCAACGAGCGACCCCCCTTTCTTGCAACCTCTAGATAGCAAAACCCAAATGATGAAGTTTTCAGTATATCACTGGATTTGCTTCCATTCACGTGTACTGCCCCCACAGAGGCCAACTCCTTCCACAAATCTATTGTCATCAAGCGTCTGTGCCAAAAACAAATCTAAATCATGGAAAAAGGTAATCATGGTCCATCAATTTCACCGATGCCAGCTCCTAACCATGATGATTACCTTCAATCGTGGAAACTTGGAATTGTAATCAGCACACTTTTCCTTGGGATATTTCTCTTCGGCCTCGACGTCAACATCATCGGTGTCGCTATCCCTAAAATCACAAGCGAATTTGGCTCTCTTGACAAAGTTGCATGGTATGGATCCGCCTACTTGTTGACAGTGACAGCTTTCCAGCCCGGTTTTGGCAATTTGTATAGATTCTTCAACGCAAAGCTCATCTATTTATTGTCTATAGTTATTTTTGAGGGTAAGTGTAGTGCCTTGGGACCAGGAGAAACTGTGGTCTACGATTGCTAACACCTCAACTACCAGCGGGTTCTGCCATTTGCGCATCAGCGCCAGCCTCCAATATCCTTATATTTGGTCGTGCTCTCCTGGGAGTCGGTGCTGCCGGTCTTCTTCAGGGCGCTCTTGCCATCATCTCTTATTCCGTTCCTTTGGAAAAGGTCCCCGTCTATCAGGGAGTTGTGACGGGAGCCATTGGTATAAGCGTATCTGTTGGGCCCGTTATCGGTGGTGCGCTTACACAGTATGCTGGCTGGAGTACGTATATCTCTTTCAACAGTGCGCAAGTTCTGATGCTTACGAAATTTTCTCAGGATGGTGCTTCTGGATGTGAGATTGCAATTCTGTCCATGACAACTCCATTTTTGGACATCTTAAACTAATGAAAATTCTTTTTCATAGCAACGTCCCAGCCGGAGGGCTCGTTATATTGATCGTCCTTCTATTTGTACCACTTTCGCGGTCCTCTGATGAAGCAAACAAACAATTACCAATGAAAGAAAAGCTTCGGCGCATGGACCTTATTGGAACTATTGTTTTTCTCGGCTCTATCTGCTGTCTTCTCTTGGGATTAGTCTGGGGTGGCCATACGTATCCTTGGCAAGACTCGAGAATCATCGGCCTGTTCGTTGGCTCTGGACTGCTTGCCATTCTTTTCTGCTACTGGCTATGGATGCAGGGTGAGATGGCTCTAATACCTCTTCGGATCCTCCGAAAACGATCTATTGCAATGGGAGCTGTAACACTTTTCGCCATTAATATAACCTTGAATATCGTACGTTTTTTCCGTCAGCGACACCGATCTATTCCTCTTCGATTGACTCTAGAGCTCAATCAAGGACTGACTGGAGGTATGTAGTACGGTTATTATCTACCACTATTCTTTCAAGCCGCTCAAGGAGTTGGTGTCACTGAGAGTGGAATTCGTCAAATGGCTCTTGTTCTCCCCGAAATTGTTGCTGTTGGGCTCACCGGCTTTGTTGTGACAAAATGGGGTTACTATGTAAGTCTATGAAGAAAGACTCATTAAATCTCCCTCTTCAACATGATTTCAGTGGAATGAGCCTTTGCAAACACTGCGTGGATAATCTAATTTTTGTTTTAGGTGCCTTACATGATAGGGGGGACAGTAATCGGATCCATCGGTGCGGGTCTTCTTACAACTCTCGATGTCGATACCCCTACAGCAAACTGGGCGATTTATCTTTTCATATTTGGCGTTGGGGCCGGAATGTCGTTACAGCTTCCATACACTGCAGTACAGGCCGTCCTTGAGTATGACCCCCTGAGCTGAAGTGACCCTATATGCACTCGCTTGTGTTAATTTGACTAATTATCAATAGCCCCTCGGACGTAGCGACAGGTAACGGTATGTTACGTCCTTTATTAGGGCTATGACGATGCTTTTGTAATTTGTAATCATGTTGTACACAGATCAAGCTAACACACCGAAGCGATTGCCGTTTTCTCTTCTCAGCTTTCTGGGTATGTAATCTTTCTGCTTCTAGATATGCATCTTCGACACCTGCTGTCAGTTTCCAACGTCTTTCTAATTATAAATCAGCGCTATTGGCCTCTCGATTGGCCAAGATCTCCTTGTTCATAAGCTTTATATAGCAATCCCACAACACACGGACGCAATTTCCCCAGCCAGAGTTGTTGAAGTCGGCGCTAGCGCCCTAGCTGAGATATCACCCTCACCTGAGGTTCTTGCTGCCCTGCGCCAATCGTACGCTGATGCAATGCGCTGGACTTTGATACTTGCTGTCGCGTCCATGTGTATTGCAGTCCCGTCTTCTTGTGCTATGGAATGGCTGAACATCAGGAAGGTTGCAGAGCAAAGGGTGGTAGAGCACGAAATGCAAAGGAACAGCTCCTCCACCAAGCCGGATGAGAGTCGGGGGGACCTATCTGCGAATGAAAAAGATGAAAAGAAGACTATGGTGTAAATGGTTGTTGTAGGATCGTACAGCTTGTGAATCAGATTTGATTAACAGATGATAGAGGTGGCCCTTTGTTTAATAAATAAAAGAGGGTTTTTTCAATTAAGATATAAAAGCGGGCGTTATGTTCACATTGACTCCTAGAAATAGAATAACTGCTCAACTTGCGATTATTGCGAAAAGCAGCAATTATAATATCAATCGATCGTCAAGAACCTGCCCAGTGAGAATTTGCGAAGAAATCCGTGTTGGAATTTCCTGCAGTGAAAGGAACGAAGCCTTGTCGGACAACAGAACGTGGATTGATGGTATTTGTGATGAAAATGTATATTTGACCCTAGTTAGAAATATCCATTTCTCCCTTGCTTTGTTTGTCTGTTTGATTAAAGGGGGGTTATCATAGGATAAGGGGGGGGACATGACCTACGCGAATCGAAAAACGCCTCGTGAATGACTTCTGCTTAATATCAAGTCGTCACCTCATGAGCAAAATCTATCGTAGTACTTTGACCATATCCAAAACCATCCTAAATTGTAAAATGCCGCTTTCATGCGCCTCATGCTGGTATACATTTCGTCAAGACTGAGAAACGGCAAAGCATATCGTGAAGTTTGCCAAGCTCAACAAACATTACGGGCTCTACAAGCATTTTCGGCAAAAGAAGATGACGAACGTTTCTCTACAGTTGCTAAGCTATCTGATCGCCTCTTCGGTAGTGAAAAAATGGTCTCTTAAACTTTTGCTTGCTGTAGACTACACCTCCACTTGCTTCGGATTTCTGTTAAAGCCTCAGCTCGTACTATTCGACGAGAACTTCGTCTAGCTGGCTACCGAAGATGTATTGCCTGCCCGAGACCCTTTATTTCAAGAAAACAAGCCAAAAAGCGTCTAGACTTTACAATGTCGCACCGTTGGTGGGGAACATCTGACTTTGTAGCCGAGCGGTAGGAAGGGGGGGACTGGCGCAAGGTTATATAGTCAGATGAGTGTATATTTGAGCTTAGAAAGACCGGTCGGGTCTAGGTAACACGAAGAGTCGATGAAAAGAGGTGTTCCGATTGTATTAAGTCGACTTATCGCTCAGGACGTGTTTCGGTCATAATTTAGGGTGCTATCGGCTAGGATTAGAAATCGCTACTTATCTTCTTAGAAAAGGAGGAGGCAGCTAAGGGAATAAACAGTCGTGCCTATCGGGATTAAGTACTCGAGCCCGTTATTTTCCCTCTTTTTAATCGCCTTAGAACCGAGTATACCTTTATAGAAGATAGCGCAAAGGTTTACAAAGGGTATACCCGTTTAGCTAAGCTAGAATACTAGATTAAGAGCTTTAACTAGCCACTAAGTTTACCTAATTTAAACGTTATTAAGAAGGTCTAGCGATAGATAAAAGAAGAGATTAAAAAGCTACTATTTATACCGACTTCGAAGAAGGAATTAAAGAAGAAAATTTAGAGGCTTTAGAAGCTTATAGACTCGAAGGATTACCGGCTATATACTAAGCGATTAACGATTAAATTAGAGGACTTAATATAAGTTAAAGGATTAGCTACTATTTATTAATCTAAATTATAAATTATAGGTCAAAATAGTAAGGTTTAGGTATATAGTAATTTTTTAAAAGTAGAGTAGTATTTTTTAGTATTCTCGCTTAGCCTACCGGATCGCTATAGCCCTAACTCTTATCTTAATTCTAAGTCTCTATATCTAGTAAACTTAAAACGCTCTTAGAGTTCTAAGTATTTTTATTAAGAGGGTTCTAAGTTATCTTAAAGTACTTAGAACTCTCGATTTCTACTATAGAACCTATACTAATAATTTTATATAAGATACTATAGCTAAAGGGCTATCTATAGAACTAAAAATTACCTAATTTAGTTAAGTATAACTTAAGTTATAAGGGTTTTAAGTTAGAGCTCGGCCGAAGCCTATAACCCTAGAGTTAGGCCTTAGAGTTATAAAGAATACTTAATAACTAACTCTATAGTAGAGCTAGAGAGACGTATAGAGGCTTATTTTAAAGCTAAATAATAGAACTATAATACTATAAAATAATAATTAACGTTATATATATATTTACTTCTAGTAAAGTAAGAAGTCTATAAAGATAAAGATAACTAATAACTCTTTAACTAAGAACTTTCTAAGTTAAGTTTTATAGCTTATATTAGTCTACTATTATTACAAGTAGCGTCGGCCTTAGCGTCGTAATACTCCTAGGACTAAAGGTCCTAGAATTAGGCGAGGTTATAGAAATCGAGTAGTTCTTAAGACTACTATTTAATAGCTTAATTTAGTTAATATTAGTAATATTTATATTAGCGAATAGGCCTCGGTTTTAGGTAGTATTACGTAATAAGTAAGAGTTTAATAAGTTCGCTAGGTTTACTATTAAACTTATTAAACTTATTAAACTTATTAAAACTTAGATAGAGTAGAAAGTTCTATATAATAATTATAATTTTCTTAGATAGAAGCTTTATACTTAACTTATTATAGTAATAGTATATTATCTATTTAACTTACTCTTATTATAATAAATAGATCTCTAAATCTATAAGTAATAATCTTACGCCTACTTCTTAATATACTAACCTTATAATAACCTCTATCTACTCTAAGTAGAACCGAATTATTATACTTTAAGTACTAGTTCTTAGTAAGTACTAGATTATTAATAATAGCTCTAAACGTTACTAGTCTAGCCGGAAGTATTATAGAGACCCTAGTACTACCTAGGGTTAGGGTTAGGGTTAGGGTTAGGG